TGTTGTTGTTGTTGTTGTTGTTGTTGTTGTTGTTGTTGTTTTGGGGGGTTTTATTTGGGGGGGGGGCGGTTTGTTTGGGTATTGCTTATTTCTCTAAAAATAACGATAACACTCGTATTTTTTTACAAGTGTTCACCGTCGTTGTCTGACTTTAACAATGCATCTGCCAAATAATGTCAAACACTTTTTATGCGTTTCTTATCATCATAATATTACTCATCACCGTATCTGCAATCGATAAAATAAAAAATTAGGATTAAGATGAGTTGTGGCTTGTGCTGCTATTGCCAACGACAGACCAAATTTACCTGAGCAGAATTTGCTACATTTTGAGTAGTTAAAAATCGTCAGTTCCACAATGTATTGCGCCCTGTAATTCTAACATTTTTCCTCTTCTGTTTCAGGTTGACGGAGCAAAGTTCCTCTTCGGAGGTGAGGCAAGGCGAGTGTGTGAGGTAAGATTTTCATCCCACGCTTTGCAGAGAAATATGAGTGCACCTTGCATACGTTTATGCTTATTTTTGTCCATGTGTTTGTTGACGTCAAAAAAAAATATCCTTTAGAATTATTCACGTTCGTCTGACGGCTTTTCTATTCTAATTTGGGAATGGTTGGAGGGCACCACTGGTAGGTGTGGGCGGTTGGCGAATGCTCTGATGTGGTTTGCTCCTTCTTTCCTATCAAACATCTATCGCCCTTATCTCCCCTTCTTCTTTTTATATTTGTTACTCTCTTGTAACATCTCTAATCTTCTGGCGCTCATATGACCTTATGCAGTTGCGAACGCTGTAAAACCTCTACTAAAACTTAAAAAAACTAAACACTGGTAGATCCTACTTCTCTACTTTCCCTTCGTTGTTGCTGCCTGTACGTCTTACTTTTTCCCAGCTCAAAATGACCATTTTTGTGTCGAAGTGCAGTTTCTTGTACTCGAACTCAAACTCATTCGGTAGGTTATAGTATTTTTGGACGTTAACAGTAAAAGGTCGTCCCTCCCTAAAAAAAAAAACAACCTAAAAAACCCCGCGTTTCTTAAGTAGCTTTATGACTGTCTGACGTCATACAACAACAGTGTGACGTAGGGAAAACCATATTTTGTAAGTTAATCACCTATACACGTCAACACGGTATTACGAAAACACCGCCCCAGAATAGTAATGATAGCTACCCACAAGAGATCCTTTCTTCTAATGAAATCAGCACGCAACCAGCTAAGCGAAAATGTCGAGACGAAAGCCGACTCCTTCCTTTCCTACTTTCGTGGGAATGAGGTATAGTATTATGATAATCATGCAGCTAATATTCATAGACTTGCATTTTAGTTTCTTAGACTGTGCATTCTGACGTAGTTCCGCTTCACTGTGAAGCGTACTACTTGTCTATATCAAAGAGTCTACATAACAAGAGGGGCCACTTCTCTCTTTGAGCCAATTAAAAAAGTGTCCTCAAAATTCGGTGGCGCCCTCTTCGCAAAAGCGCACCTTTAGCGAACAGAGTTATCCTACTTGAGTTACAAAAAATCAAAGTGAAACTGGCAAGTTTTTTAATGAATTTCGGAAGAACGCTTTTTAAAAATGGTTACGCTGACAAAAAAAAACCTCTTCCGGAGGAAAAGGTGATTGTTTTCTTCGTTTAATTTAACTTTAGAATGAAAGGCGAGAGTCCATTAAAATTTTTTAAAACTAAAACTCTGTACTGAACGAATCCGAACTGCTGATGAACAGCAGTCGATCTGCGCACGCAAGGAGGTGCTATTCCTATTCTTCTTTTGGAAAAACGAAAGAGAGCTTCAAAACAGACTGCAGCGCCATCTGAAGCAAAGAGCATACTTCCTGCGGACACTTTTTTGGCTGAGTGGCCCATCTTGTTATTTACTATCTTTGTCTATATTTTGTAGTCAAATCAGGGTCAAGGAGGGAAAAGTACCGTGCGCACTCAACTATAGCCAGATTAGTATTTGCCCTTCACACTTTTGGACGGACATGGTGCGCACACTTCGCAGTGAAGTTTTTAATAAAGGGGATAACACCTCAGGGGAGTGTAGTTTACAGTCTAAGAAATTATTGATTTTATTGTAATTCAGGTCTACATGTATTATAACTGCACTCAGTTATTTCTCATTCCCCTACAAATATTTGCACGAGTTCAAGAAGCGCTGACAATTAGTTTTATAGAGTTCTTTAACCTAAAGTCAGTTTCCTCCGGGGATCAATAAAGTGGTATTTATTTAGTGTTCATTTATTTACAGTTCCTATTTTAGACCAAAATGCACGAAAGCGGGGTAGTTTTTAAGGACAGAACATTAATGTTCACTACAAGATGTCTCAAAAGTTGTCCGACTGCACTTACAGTTTATTTTTAAAAAGACACTCTGTTTTTGGAGAGAAGGAGTGTGGATGTTCTTGCGTTTGTGTGTGTCAGCGAAAGAGAAAAGAGTGTTGGGGTTAAGATCAGTGGCTGTGGGTAGTGAAGGGCTCACGGGCTTGAGCCCCTACCCCCTCCCCAACCACCACCCCCAAATCTATCCCAAAGTAAATGAAAGTTTCTCCATAATGAAATAAGCAGTTGAAACCGTTATGACCGCACGCAATGAACACAGAGCGAACAACCTGGCGGCTTGCTCGCTTATCCAATCACTGTTGTCCCCGCTTACAACTATAGTAACCCAGCAGCCAATCAAATGTCTTTAGGGCTCAGCAAAGATGAGCCCTTTTCCCACAGTCCGTCTTTAATGAAACTCTTCTTGTAAAAAGATAGAAGACTGGGAAAAAAATAACACTGTACCGAGGGCTCACGCTCTCCTAGCCCTGGCAATGGGGTGAAAGTTTACGACACACTTTCCCCTACTGACACAGATACCTATGCGCTCATTGGTTCTTTGTTGGGATGCGTTCAACTTTCTCGACTACACGGCCTAATCCAGCTCATAGAAGTATTATGTTTGAAGT